TGATTTTCCTGCATTTGGCATGACTGCATGTGTTATGTGAGTCTGAAGAAGAATTTATAGACTGGTATTGGACATATGGGCTAATATCGGACTTACGGACTTGATCTGGACTGGGCTGGGATGTTTCTTAATGTAAAATTACTCTTTGATATAAAGTTCTTTCTTATACATATTTGAGTGCCTCTGGATTTGCTTCTCTAGTCAACCCGGACTAACACACCTAGGTTAGGGATGCTCCATCCACACATGCTTTCTTAATGAAAGCCATTCGAAAGAGATGAAAAAATGGCAGTTTCCTTACATGCTTGGTCAAGAGGTGTTGAGAGCTCTTGACTCTTCTTCTGGCTGGACTGGATGCTGAAAAAAGCAAGAAAAAGGTGGTTTTAGGGAGTGCTGTGCACACAACACAGCTGCAGAGACAAGGCTGAGGCGACCTTGGGGCTTGCTTGCTGTGAGTGGAGGCGACAGGGCAAGAAGAGGCAGGGCTCAATGATATTTTAAGATGTTACTTGTTTGGTAAAGGTGTGTGTTCTGGTACATATGGAGACACCGTCATGTCTTGTCCACCTTGCTGTGAGAATGAGCTACCTAGAACTAGACTTCCACCATGCCACTGCCCTGCTCAAACTTGAAGGGAGGGACTTCTCATATTATGTCACACATGCGACGCGGTGAGCATTTGGGTGGTCACGATTGCCTGCAGGTAAGGCATGGGCACTGGGAAGCCCAGAGCACAGCTTGGGGCTCCTGACTCTGTTCACTTGGGTGTAAATCCTGGTGGAGCACGTCTCAGCTGGGTGACTCTGAACTTCACTCTCCGTATCTGCTCCAGGGGGGCTGTGACAACAGATTAGATGAACTCACCTTTTAAAACCCTCAGCTCAGAACCTGGCTTAGAGGAAGGTCCCCAAACTGGTGGTGATCTCCCAGCCCCCACTTTTTATTTTTTTTATTTTTCAGGATAAGGGTGGGCAAAAAGAGTAGATGATGACAGCTAGCGTTCGGGCAACATGTCTCTTTCCTGGAGCTTTCCCGTTTCCTCCTTCTGCTCCTATTCCCCCCCCACCCCCCAACGTTGTCATTATACACCCAGGCTTATCCCAGGGGAGCTGTTTCAGTGCTGTGGTCCTGTTCCCCCCAGAATTCACCCACTCTGGTATGCCTCAGAAAAATCACATCTGGTGCAACTTCTCAGGGAAACCACAGCGTTTAACCTTCTGTCTTTTCTGTGAACTGCACTCTGCACAACCTCTCATTCGGGCTGGCTGTCTCTCCCTCTCCCAGGTACATAGAAACATTGTCTTCAGGTGAGATTTGGTCAGGTGCTTTAAAATACTTAAGAAACACCGTAACAGTCCGTTGCCCTGTTTCTGTGGCGGTATTACGCTTCAACCGTTTTACAAAGGAGACATTGCACCAAACTAAATTTACTGTCATTAAGTCAATGCTGACTCACAGGGACCCTACATGACAGGGGAGAACTGCCCCTGTGGGTTTCTGAGCCTGTAAATCTTTGGGAGAGTAGAGAGCCGCCTCTTTCTCCCTCAGAGCAGCTGGTGGTTTTGAACTGCTGACTTTGTGGTTAGCAGCCCAATACAGAAGCAGAGATGAGGTTGGCGCAATGTAGGTGTGTGCGGCGCGTGGTGGCTTAGGAGAAGGCAAGCTACCGGACAGCAGTGCGTGGGAAGGAGGGCATGTCATCGCTTTGTGTTCCAATGTTCTCTCTCTAGAACACTTTCGTGCCCAGTGAAACGTGCCGGAATACTTGGTGTTCTACGAAGAGGTGATCATGAATAAAAACAGGAAGAAAAGAACACAGGGCTGAAGAGTCATCTCTGGGAGAGCATGCTAATTATGCAAATAAAGAACAGAAAGGGAAATCACTTTGTAAGTGATATACTCAATAGTGCGTATTACGTGCCAAGAACTGTTATTAAGGTTCTATAATTAAGTTAGTGATTTCTAATAATAACCCAGGGAGGTAGGCTCTACTTCTCCCTTTTGTAAAAGCAGAAAATCAGGCCCAGAAAGGCTAAGTAGTTTGCCCAACATCACACAGCTTTTTCTCTACAGTATGATAAACAAGTCGATCCCAAGGTCCTTTCTGAAACACTTTATTTGAGGGGAATGTCGCATCGCTCCTCAATTGTATAGATTTTTAGGTGAAAAAGAGTCCTGCAGTTTTGTTTTCTCCTTAAACACTTGTACATGGATAAAATTAAAGCAAATAGATACTGTAACATTTTTGGATTTGCTCAATTTCTCTTCCTAAAGGAAACAAAAAGGTAAAGGTAAAGGTGAAGGCATCCTTCTCCCCTACCCTAAGTCTACTTCCTTCCCACCTGGCGGATTGCTGAGATCCCCAATTTGATCTGTGTCTCTCCATCTATGTTGTCACACTTCCAATATATGGGTAGCCATAGAGGATACTAGGCTGCGGCAAAGGGAAAATGGAATGAAAAGATCATGGAATCCTTCCACAAACTTTTCGAAGCACCTCCGTTTGCACTGTTATTTGTGTCCCAATTTACGTAAATGTTACCATATGCATACGGCATCTTTCACTCAGCAGTATGTTCTGGAGACTACATACACAGGTCTGGCTCTTTCCGCCTGACCACTGGGGAGTATCGCGCAGTGTGACGACACTCTCTTTTATCCTGTCCCCCTCCTAAGGGACGTTTAATGGCCTTTATTTCCTTTTCCCCCTTACGAATCAACACCCTTATGAACATCCTTGTGTCTGAGTTTCCCTGGGCTTTGGACCCCAAAGTAGGACTGAGGTCACCTTGAATTTTCTAGGTACATTTCAGAGTCTCTAGAGGGAACGCCACTCCAATGCTTAGGAAGGCTTCTAGCTCTATTTCTTCTTTCTGACATAAAGCTTCATTTATGTTCTGCTAGGTGCCTCTTGGTGGCCAGGCTCAGAGCTCTGCCCTCCAACCTTCCCCCAGGCTCAGAGTACCCCCCTGACCCCCACCCCACAACACCCGCCGCAATGGCTTTGTTGGCAGCTGATACTGGAGAGAGGAAGAAAGGAACTCCTGAGTATAGAATCACACCAGTCAGCAGCCAGCCCACTGCACTCATGCCTGACAGTGAGACTGAACACTAAGCCGAGCCCTGGCTCTCCCCGGGAAGACAAGGATGCAGAACAAGGATGGAGGTGTCCAGAGGAAGGACCACCTCTGGAGGGGTAAAGGAACTTTCCAGAATGGGGCATTTGGTTGGAGTCCACTGAACCCTCACACAAAGCCCCTGCCTGGATTGAACACAGCTCACCTCTGACCACAAGAATATCATGCCAAGCTTCTCTGGTCTTTCTGGGAGCTCTTGCTCCAGGTTCAGTTTTAGAGTTGGGTTCTGGGGCTCTGTGGCGAGGCAGAGCCGCGGTAGAGCCTGGCATGGTATGAGGACTCCCGGTTACATCCAGGGACATGTCATCTGCGGCCGTTAAGTCACTGCTGGGTGGATTTCTCCTTTCACGGCACAGTGCAGTGCAGAAGCCGACTTTGAGTGAGAGAGTTCTCATTTCATAGCCCCCTTGCCACTGGAGAGAGCGAAAGACTGCCCCGCTGCCCCGAGAATCGGGTTGCCTCTCTGCTTCCTGAAGCCACGGCTGGCTGTCCCCTTTACCATTTGCTGTCACTACTGCTGTGTTCGGCTGTCAGCCTTGAATGAAGTGACCCAGGGAGTCTTTTAACTGTGCTCATTTTGGATTGTGTCTCAATGATGGATGTTTAGCCAAGTGCCTCCTATTCGGGGCTGGGGGGAGATGAGGAATCAAACACCCTGGAAACAGAGAGCCCCTCAACCCACAGAGCCCCGAGAGTAACGCACAGCCAAACAGCGTGGGGTTGTCCGGAGCCCCTGCCTCGGCGCTCACATGCCAGGTCCACAGTCAAGGCCGTTTGACTCACCCTTGGGAGGAATCACGGTGGTGAACACTTCGATCTTCTCATCACTGCAGCTGTAAATCGGATGCATGGTGGCCGCCGTCTCTCCCCAAAGTGCTGAGGCGGGGGGCCTCCCCTGAAGCCCTAGCGGAGGGGGCTCCTCATCCAATCTGGCGGGGGAATCTTGTACAGCCTCGGCTCTGATCTCATCTCATTCCGCACCCTTCATGGCAACAGTTTCTAATCCCATCTGTCTTTTTTTTTTTTCCCCCCTGTGAATCCTATTATTGCAAACCTTTGAGTGAGCATGGAGGCTTAGTCCCCTCCCATGCTAGGAGGTATTTAACACTTTCATTTTGCCGTGTCTGCCGCAGGGGATTTGGAAGTCTTTGGTAGCACCAAGCCTGGCTGGAGAATTCCGTCAGAAAAGAAACAATTTTGGCTACCAGATTCTCCTTCCCATTGCAGAAACCAAGAGGCGCTTTTTTTTTTTCTTTCTTCTGGGAGAACTGGATATTCAGTACTTTGTCATGTGTTAACTTGGCTTCCTCCAAAGTTTCTATTTTAAACAAAAGAACTGCTTCTCCGGAGCGTGTCTGCTTCATGCCAGTATGCGGCAAGGCTGGCATTTCTAGCAGGCCGTATGGTTAGCATCTCCTTGTTCAGGCCTCGGGTGCTTACAGAGACCACCATGGACAGGCCAGTGCACTTGGGAGGCCCAACTAGAGGGACTTGTATTTGCCTTACTCTGAGCATTATTCTTATGTATTATTATCCTAGGAGGGAGTGGGGGTTGAGTGGTGGAATTCCGCCCCCCTCCTCCAAGGGAGATGCCCTTCAAGCTCAGCCACCACTCATCTGCCAGCGGAGGCTTACATGCTGCTCTGAAGCGGAATGGGCATCAGACCCGCTTCCAGACTAATAAGACTAGGAAGAAAAACCTGGCAATCTACTTCTGAAATCGGTCAATGAAAAGCACATGGATCGTGATAGTGTATTCTGCAATTAGTCAAGGGATGGTGCAGGGCTGAGCATCATTTCCTTCTGTTGTTCATGGTTGGCCAGGAGTCACGGGTTGACTTGATGGCTGCTAACAGCAACAACAACCCCTATACACCAGATATATATTGCTCTATGTGTCCTGTATTCCATTATCTTTCAATTCCACTTTTCATCGAACCCCTCCTATGTATGAACATAAGGTTATGGCTGAAACATATCAGGCCAAACTCACTACCTTGCACTGTACCATTGCAGCTACACTTCATAATAAAATTAATAATGTAGTTTCTTCTTTCTCACTATCGGCAAGTGGATTCTGACCGACAGTGACCCTAGAGGGCAGGGTAGAACTGCCCCTGTGGGTTGCTGAGAGAGTTATGGGACAGCCCTGTTTTTCTTCCACAGAGCAGCTTGTGGTTCTGAACTGCGAACCTTGGGGTTAGCGGCCCAACGGGAGTAAAAAGCCTCTATTAAACACTTGCTATGAAGTATGTAGACTGCTTTATCATCTCATTTAATCTACAACTCCAACTCCCCAAAGAGTCAGCTATTTTTTTTGCCATGTTCTAGATGAAGGAAGCGCAGCATACAGAGATTGGATAACATGACCAAAGGAAAGCCGTTGTTTTGCGGCAGAATTAGGATTTTAAATCCAAGCCCAAATCCAAAGTCAATATATTTAACCATCAAAGAAGAAAGAAAGGAGGGAAAACAGCCAAGAGCAAAGCGCATCCTTTGGATGGGTGTTCCTCGTGCTGGGAACCTCTTCCACCTAAGGAGAACGGATGTCAAGACACATGGGATGTCCAAGGAGTTCCAGGCTCAAAAAGAAACAGATTCTGCAGAGAGACAAGGACTCACCCACAGAACTGACACAAAAAGCCTTCCCCTAAAACTGGCTCCTAAACTTTAGATAATTAATTTGATGTTTGTTAAAATCACCCACCTGTGGTATTTCTGATGCAGAGCCCTCGATAGCGGGCATGCTTGATCATTTCCTAGTTTTTCTTCATTCTTTATCTTGGGGTCAGTGGGTGACCTCAGTCTCCATCTGACACATTTCCTTTTGGCTTAAGTGTAAGTAGGTTGTGCACATTCAACCAAGAAAAGTTCTATTTAACAATGGCTGCAATCACCACTGGCACTCAGACCACTGGAAATTAAAGTTCCTATGGCCAACCTGATCGGGAATACCCTCACGATAGTCATTCAGTCATGGCCCATGTCTGCTACAAGACAGCATTGATCTCTGGGTACCTTCAAACTGTTCCTCCCCTCAGTCAGGACCTAGAGTGGACTTGCTGTTGTTTAGAGCTTTATTAAAAGTCACCCATTTAAAGTGTAAAAAAATAAGTGTGTAAATTATATAACCTTGGCAATGATCAAATTTTCAGGTAATATGAAATTTAGAGGAATTCCTTAGCACAATGGAAGGCAAGATCCAAAATGATGTTAACAGCCTGGAATCTTGGATCAAAATTTACAAGATAGCATTTGAACAAAGCAAAATGCAAACACCTCCCGTAGAGTAAAAAGAAATTCATTATTAAGTATATAAGTGGGTGAACTACCTTAGTAGCAATTTACATTTTTAAAATCTAGTTTTCCATTTAACATCAATTAAACAACAACAACAAAAAAAAACAGTTGCCAATAAGTACATTTCAACTCATGGGACCCCCTTGCCTACGGGAGCCAGGGCCTACGTTGTTTCCAGGGGTGGTTTTTCAGAAGTAGATCTCCAGGCCTTTCCACCAAGCTGCCTGTGTGTGGACTCAAATTTGCCATCTTTCTATGAACAGCTGAGAGCAGTAACCATTTGCAGTGCCCTGGCACTCCAGTGAACCCCTGACTTAAGAAGAGCAATACTATGGGCAGAAGGTAAAATACATAAATGTCATTTCAAGGACCTGATACTAAATTGAAGTGAAACTACCTCTGAAGTTAAAATACCAAAAACAACCTGAGTTACCCGGTATAATCATGATGGGTTAAATTGTCTCCCCCACAAATATATGTTGGGATCCTAAGCTCCATAGCTATAGATATAATCCTACGTAGAAATAGGGTTTTCTTTGTTGTATCAGTCAGACGTTACTTACACGGGGTGAGTTCTACAGCTAATGACTTCTGAGCTATGAAAAGACCAAATTAGACACAGAGACTCACACACATGGGGCAGATAGATGCCCCAAGAAGGGCAACAAGGAACCCAGGGAAGCCTGGGCTGCAGAAGAAAGGAGCCCTCATGGCTGAGACCCTGATTGGGGCATTTGGCCTCCAGAACTGTGAGAAAATACACGTCTGTTTGTGAAAGCTACCCACTGTGGTATGTCTGGATGGCAACAGTAGGTAACTAAGAAACTGCCTGCAGGGTTCAGCCAACTCTATGCTGGTTAACTAATGAGTCTGAAACACACCTTCTGTAATGAAGCCTATCTAAGAAAAGAACACCTTAAAATGTATAAAGTACTCTTTTAAAATAGTTTCTAATGACCTGTTCCATGTTAATTTTTATTTACCTCCTTGAAATGTTATAAGAATTTTAAATGATGGAATGGTACCCAGTAAAAAATAAAGCCCAATGCTCCTGATCTCATTGCACATTTAAAAACAGTCACTGTTTACAAATGGTGCCGTGAGTTAGGCATTACACTGCTAACCGTAGGGGTGGTGATTCAAACCCACCAACTGCTTCTTAGGAGAAAGATAAGGATGTTTGCGCCTCTAAAGATTTATTGTCTCAGAAATCCTCTATAGGCTCATTATGAATTGGGGGTAAGCAAAAATATATGTACACATATGGGATTTTTAAAAAAGAAATGGAAATGGAATCATTCCTACTAGAAACATTACTGAATTTATATCCTTGTGTAGATGCTGTATCTTTATCTACATCTGTGTATATTTTTATAGGATATATTTCTAATTGTAGGAATGGTGGATCATAGCATTTGCATGTTTAAAAATTTGAGGAATCTTTCTGAACTAGCCTTCCCCAAACCCTGCATTGATTCACATTTGCAGCTAAAGCATATGAGAAAACTTATTCTCCAGAGTCTTGGCAATACTAGATATTGTCCCTGGCCAGGGCCAATGATAAAGTGCCCAATTGCTAGCTGGTAGGTTGGAAGTCAGAGCCCACACTGAGGATGCTTGCAATCTTCTCCCCAAAGTCATGGCCTTGAAAACTCTGTGGAGAAGTTCTGCTTTGTGTAGGTGATGGGGTCACCATGAGTCAGAATTGACTTGTCAGCAACTAACACCAGTCAATCATCTGTTTGATTTTCTGCCAAAATGATCCCGTTTGGCTTTGGTGCTCTGAGCTCATAGTCTTGGTCATATTTTATAGGTGGGAGCTAACTGGCTCAAGTAGTTTACAATCCATGAAGAATAATGTGCTTTTATTCAGAGTTTATAAAAATGACAGTAGGATACTGTGTCAGTGATCGAAGGATTGTAAATCATATAATCTGAAGTTGAAGGAGGGATTAGTACCAGAGCCTAAATTGTGAAAATCTAATTTGCAGAAGGCTATGGATGATGGTGGGAGCCCAGGATACATTTGTGGGATCTACACGGGAAATAAGCTTCTGGCGATTTCCCTCTCTCCATACCAGAGGGATGGGAGGAAAGCGGTTATCAAACAGAGTGCATTGGAGAGATGGCAATAGATGATCAAAATGATAAACCTCACTTGAACGGTTAAAGCCTTGTCAGTTGATCCCTCTTCTGATGCACATTGGACCTGACCTGGTTTTCAACATTTTCTGTATGTTTTTCTTTTCTGTTTGTTCATATTAGGGCTTATCTCAGATGTGGTATGTCACTGGGGGGTTCACCCTCTTGAATTTTTGTTATATGCTTTTCTGGTTTTCAGTTTCTGAAACCCAGGATTGATGAACCTATAGAGACAGCAAGTAGAATAAGGAATCTTGGAAGGTACACTGGTGGTGGTGGTAAAAGGGAGCCGATGCCAAGGAGCTCAGAAAGGAAAAGGATGTTTTGAAACTGACTGTGGCAGCATTTGTGCATTATTTCTTGATGTGATTGCACTGTAGAATGATATAATATCTGTATTAACTCCCAATAACGTGATTTTTAAAAAGACTGCCTGTGTCCTCATTTAAGATGTAAAATCTTTATAACTCAACTGCAATATATATGTACCACATCTATTAGTACCAGTCTCAAGTTTTGTACAGGATGAGGCTAACTGAATAGGCTCTACTCATTTCTGGGATCCACTTCTCGGGAGAGCTCCCTACTGAGCAGAAGAGTGGAACCTGTACTGGCGAAGGGCTTGTCTTTCCTACACACCCTCCACTGAACATGGCATGTCACACATGAGCCCTACAACAGCC